ATAATTTGAAGAATTTACACCATGAAGGATGGGTGTAAATTCCATAGGAGAACATAGGAGTGTTCTTTACAAGTCCTCATTTATACCAATGTAAAAAGCTAAAGAAAGAAAAGATACGTTATGTGGGTTATATTTTATATTCTTCAAAAAAAATTTTAATATAATTTAATTTATTTTTACGGGGGAGATCATTAAGTCTATTTATTTACTGTTAGTTTTTTTTTTTTTTTATGGATGGGGGTACTGGGGATTGAACCCAGGACCTAGTGCATGCTAAGCATGTGCTCTATAACTTGAGCTATAGCCTCTCCCCTATATTTTATATTCTGAAAACACTAGACAACATTAGGGAATTGAGAAAAGTTGTTGGGCTTTGTTTTCACCTGCATGATCAACAAAAACTGTATTTAACAAATTCTTGATGTACTTTTCTCACGTCTTATTGGGACGTATTTTAACATGCTGCTGACCGGGCAGTGATGGTGACACGGTTATCACCACCTGTGCTTGCTAGTGAAAACTCTTTGCACGAGAGGGTGTCAGCAGCTTGGAGGAAAGTCTGGGGGGCAGCAGCGGCACGTTCTTTTAGGGATGCTAATGCTCATGATGGTGCAGAAGACGAGAGTAGATGGAAAAACACAAACATCAACAACTTCGTCAAGCGATTTCAGAAAAGTTGGACTATAAATGTGCAGAAATTTTAGGAACACTTTAACCAATTTATTTTACTTATGTTTTACTTTTTATGTTTGCACAAGTGTGAAATATGATAAAAAATGTGTCTAAGTCTAAAACTGTTCTTTTGGTAAGTATAGAATAAAAATTCTAGGTGATAGGAAAGCATTACATTATAGTTTAAGCAGTACTGTTTTTCCTTTCTTGGTAAATAAAAAAATGGTGCATCTTACAATGAACAGGACCTTAGATTCAATGAAATAGGGGCTTAAGTTTTGACATCACCCTTCATTGTCTAAGAAGTGAGGCAAAAAGAGAGAGAGAGACTGAGATGGAAATACTGATCAAGAAGGATACCACTCACTTCTCTCCTCCGCAATAAATGGAAAAAAGCAAAGATAATGAAAGGTATTCACTGCATTGCTGATTAGCAAAGACAAAAATACAAAGTTGGTAAGCATTTCTCTGTGCCAAAGCATGTCACGATTAAACAAATGATTAAATCAATTCCATAGATGACCTTGATGTTTAATCTTAGTCTGCTGCTGTCACTTAATCTGAAATCCAATTTAATGTCTGCTTTGTACATCAAAGAGCAACCCCGGTCCATGCTACATATTTTCTCAAAGGAAAAAGTTAAATTAAAAGAGAAAAACTTTCCCAAATAGTAAGGTCGATGTAGATACGTTCAGCGGAGTACCACTAAATTTGGCAGTTCTATAGAAAATCTATCTGATTTTCTCCCAGATAAATTATTCTTCCAGAATATCTTCAATGTCAAGCCTAAAAAGTTGTCTTTACAATACTGCCAGTCAGTTATTGTACACGTTCTCTTTCAACTGATTTATCTAGCAGGGGCTTTGTGTGTCTGTTGATTAAAAAGTCAACCCTGCATACATTTCGTTTTCCTGATCTATTTGACAGAATCTTAGGGAAACATTGAAGGAGAGAATCCTGCTTCCATAGTTACATCACTCTGTTTGAGATTTCATTGAAATTCAGCAATAGATAATACCAATTCCAACTTTATAGTATAACTTCCATTTAGTGGAAAGCTATTTTCATTTTGGCACATTAACTAGCACGATATGAAAATGAAAAAGCCGAAAGTGAACATGAAAATCTGTATACCCTCCAGCTGATTCTTCAAAGTTCATTTTCAAAATGTACTTGTTTTGAGATTCTCTGCCGTAGGGAAACTGTATTTACCAAACCATGTAGCGCATTCCTAGACAGACACAATACCACTAAATCAGTCCATTTAATGTTGGCACTTGCCTTCCTTGAGAGTTTGGTTTTGAGCACGGTTCTCCTGTTCTCACTGATAATACAATTTCTGGAGCATCTGGGAACTACTGGCAAATTTTAGTGAGACCTAATTGTAGCAGAAACAAAACCATCTGTGGCACTGGGAAGGCCACATTTCCCAGCCTTCTTTGCAGTCAGGTGTGATGGGGAACTCTATTCCAGTCAACAGAATGTGGACAGAACTGACAGATCCAGTTCCGGGCCTCATTCTTCTGTTTCTTTGCTTGTTGGATGATAGGTCCCAAGAATCCAGGGAGGACTCTTGAGATTTTAGAAAGGGATGAGCAGCAGGAGGAAGGAACCTGGGTCCATGTCCACCTCTGTGCAGGAGACCAAGCCCCCATTACCAAATCACTTCTGACCATGCCGAGAGTAAAACCTCAACTCCTGTTATGTCAAACTGCTGAAATGCTGGGCCTGTTTGTTACAGCAGCTAGAGTTACATAACCTGACTAGAAATGATAATATAATAGATATAGAGAAGTCCCAAACTATATTCCTTAGTAACTCCACCAGATATTGTATAATACAGGTATAGGGCCTTTGTAACATGGGGAAACATAACCAAAGTGTTCAGTAACAGTTCTGGACACTTATTCCCTCACCTTGGAGATATGTTTGGGTGACTGTGTCTCAAGCATCGGGAGGAGTTCAGGGGATGTCCTAATGAGCTAAACAGACGTCGTGCTCTTCCTCATGAAACTTATAATCCAGGAGGTAGGCCCATCATGGCAATGGATCAAACATACTAATGTAAGATTATAACCATGATCATTTCCAGGACAGGAGAATCATAATCTTATCCAACATAAAAATCGAATTATTTGCCATAATGAGGGAGACACCCATAAAGAAGGATTCCATGTCCAGGAGGACAGATATGCAATTGTCATGGGGAATTCAGATGGCAGGAGACAACGTGAAAGAGAGCCAGATGAGGTGGGGTAAAGAGATGAAGGGAATTAGCATAAGATGAGCCTAGATGAGAATGCAGGGGCCAAACCAGGCTAGAATAAGGATTTTCCTTTTTGTTCAGATACTACATGATCAGATCTGCCTTTTGTCTTTTGAAAAAGCCCACTCTGGCTACACTGTAGAAGAACAGAAAGCACATGAACAGGTGCCTAGAGTTACATGAAGACAGTAGAGAGCATGTGATAACATGAGTATCACCTATCAATATACGTATCCCCAGAAAGAAAAGGAAATAAAAAAATAGTTCAGCATCGGAAATGCTTTTGGGATTGGATGGTTGTTTGGAAAATTTTTAGTTATTTTTAATTTTGTGCTTTTTTTTTCTTTTTAACAGTTAAGATCCTCTAGTAGTTCAGTCTGGTGAGTTTGAGGTAGGAGACACTTGCCTTAGGCCACTGACAACATCCAATGCAAACAAAATTGTAGTAAAATATGAGGCTGCTTTGAGTGAGATTTTTCTCTTCAGTGACTCTATCACCCAATATTCTTGGGAAATCTCGAAGTCACTCTCCCATACCAGCCACTGAGGGGGACTCCCTAGAAGAGACACTGGGGTTCCCTGACTTTCATTACTGGGGTGTCATTATGACATATCAGTCTCTCCACATAATTTATAAAGAATTATGCTGAAAACATGAAGGAGAAAGACATCTTCAGCTTCCCGGATTCATGCAGATTTCGAGTATGGATTTCCATTTTTCTTAGACAATCTCCCAATTCCTGGGAGAATTTACAGGTTGATGTCTCCAATTTTTTCTCCTAACTTTTTTCCTCTCTGTATATGCAAACCACTGCTATAGAAGCTTGCAATTAAATAATCATCTTGAGATGTTCTCTGTTGGATTCTGGGCCCCAGTCTGATTTCTTGCTCTTGTGATTCAGGTGGTGAAACCTGGCAATCCCCCCTTCCCAACCACATAAACATCAGAGCAAGTTCCTACTGGCCCTCTCCCCTCCATGCATGGGAGAAGATCTGCACGCCCAGCCCTATGTTGCTTTTTGTTTTTAGACACACTACACCTTTCCAGAAGCAATATACACAGAGAATTCTAAATAGGCTCCCCTGCATTGAGGTGCATCTAAAAGATGTTGTTTCCCTGTAAGAAAGGATGATTAATTCCAAGTAGTTCTTTTCTAAGGTACAACTGTAGACCTTCAAAGTCAGGCTGTTAATTTGGTGATATTAACTTTTGAGTCACTTGACGAGTCAGTTTAGGAAGCAACAATTCTCTTAAAACTCTCATAATTACATTTGGACAAGTTTGCGCGTAGGACCGCAAGTCCATCAGCTTATTATAACCATGGCGCATTTCACACACCATCTTCATTATCTTGTGCTAAAGAAGAGAGCGCACACTCTTCTGTGGGTAATTTTAGATTGGCCACTGACACACTCTGCAGTGTTTATAAAGAAAACAAAACTTGGATGTTGGCCCTTTTAATTATAACTGGCAGAATCGCTACACCCAAAAATCACATAATCTCTTCACCATATTATATCTTTGAAGACATCTGCTTACAAAGCAGTAACAAGGAACTCGAAATCTAAAAACAAACTTTGTACTAGATTGATTGGTTTGGCGAGCCATGCTTTTGAAGCACTGGCGGATTCTGAAAAGATGCATTCCTGAAGTTCAAAAAAAGCTTAAAATATGCTACGATGGAGCTACAGCAACTTGTCCTCGGTCTGGACAGGCGGATTGGAGTCTGTTATTAGGGTCCCAATCAACTGGCCCAGCTGAAGATGCCGTAAATTTCACCAGCCATTTTTGCTGTTTTGCAGTTTCCAAGCAAATCTCTAGCTGATGAAACATTTTGGTAAGTTCGGGGTACTGTTTCACCTGAGAAATAATCACCCTTAAGGTGCTATTGTCTAGGTGTTTTATATAATATTTTGAGGACAAGTGAGAACCCTAGACATTCACCGAAGAATGAAGGCTGATCTATGACATCATCTTGACTATTCGTCAGACACGTGCCTCTCTTCACGCGGATCTGGACGTGATTTGTGCTCATCTTTGAGTTGCTACCAAGTCACTTACCTTTGGGCGGATGATTTCACAGCCTTCAGAGTTCCTCAACTCGTGGTACTGTAACCTGAAAGATAAAATGGAACAATTATTTATTAGTTCATCTGTGCTCTGCAGATGGGTAGGAATCTTTCTTTCTGTAGGTGACTTGCGGACACGTATTTGAATTAAGAGTATTGAAATCCCCCCTCAAAAACCCAAACCCAATGCACAAGCCTGAATTTGTTGCCAAAATAAAACTGCCTACATCTTGTGCAGTCATCTAATTCCTAAGGTCCCACCCTCCTTCCACAGCTCCAGCCAGAGAGTCTGTTCTTTCCTCCCTAGCAGTATTTTCTGGAACTCAGGGCTAGTTGTTAAACACTAACGTGACTGAAGACGGCGGCTGGAAAAGTGAAAGTAATCTCATTGTGCTGCATTAGTTCAACCAAAATGACTAACAAGTTTCAACATTTAGAGTATCCAATAGGACAAATATTTACTGCTCAGTTACTAAGTTTATTTTAAGAATCTTAATCCAAAATCACTTTGCTGGTAGTAATGCTGTGAACACTGCCTATACTTTAGACAAACTGATTTTTATTCCCGATGTTAAAAATTACAGTTATAAATAGGTACACTGCCTAAAAATGATAAAACGGTGTGTTTAATTTTTTAAATGTCAAAAGTGCTCAAAAAGCTTCAAAGATGTTGACATTTGTTGTCATTCTAATACTAATTTTATTAGTCGAAAGTATTTTTTCCCAAATGTTTTTTCTGAGATGCGCTGAGCACCAAACTATTAACTGTTAACAGCAGGGGAGTTTTCAGGTTCCAACATTCTAGTGCATGCTTGGATGTAAGCATTTTACTCATACATCTCTTTTGCAAATATGTAAGCCAAGACAGTAATTTTGATGCGAATTAAAAACTCCTCAAAGTCTTCATAAATGTAGCACAGACTTCGGAAACATTATTAGGACTAGCAAACTGCTAGAAGCATAGAAAGTGAGAAAATAAAACGAACGATTACAGTACAGATAATGATTTATTTTAATGGAGCCGGGTCAGCATTTCCGTTTTAGTTATTCATAGTACCATTATCCAACATATTTTCTTTTTTCTTTCTTTTTTCTTTTGGTAGCTCAAGTACGTAAGATTTCAGCTGAAGAAAATCAGAACAGATAAGAAATGGTGCAAGAGAAAAAATTAAAACTATCCCATGAGGATGTCATTCTAGAACTTTGTTTCCCAGGGAGTGAGGCCATAATATTTGGAGCTAGGTACATCTGGGAAGAGCTTTGGGTTCTCAGGACTTCCATAGAACACAGTAGGGGTAAAAGACCAGCAGAGGCTTCTAATTAGAAGAGCTATACGGCACGTGGTGATCTTTTCTTGCTTTACAGTGTGTGTGGTTTTGTGCCTGCAGATAGATGCCCCAGTTATAAGTTATAGGTGATTTTTATGCAAGTTTGCTTTGCACGACTAGTCTTCCAAGGTGTTTTCCAGGGGTAAGTAAAATCGTGATCATCGAAAGAGGATGAATGCATACGTCCCCACTCCAAGTTAATTTGCCCCACAGGCTCTAACACACAAAATTCCTCTCAGGAGGAGAGAATCTAGAAAAGCCTGTGACTTCTGCACGGCCCTCTCCGATGTGAAGGGAGAAAGCACGGCTGCTTTCCGATTCTCATAGGAAATGTAAAGATGTAATTTCTGCAGTGAGTAATGGTACAAATAAAATTATGTTTATTATTATTTCATTCAAGGCATTTAATTATAGAGGGAGATGGGTAGTCAGATAACAGAACAGCCATAAACAAGGGAAAGTCCCCTTCTCTCTTTTTAAATCAAGGCTCTAAAACAATTGGGAAGAGTGTTAATAGAATGTCCAGTGAGAGACAGACTCCACAGGTCTAAGTGTTCACTTGGGGTTCATCAAGTGATGGACTGTCGGCCTATTTTTCAAGCCATTTCTCTGCAGTAACTTGACATTTGATAGGATTACCTCTAGATTTTGGTCTGAGTCTCTGCTGTGCCTGAGAAGATTGTCATCTTTTGATTTAAAGATAACAGAGCCGATCACGTGAAAAGGTTCTGTACAGTCAGCCTGTGACTCATAACCAAATAGCAAAAAAGATTTTGTCCACAGTTTGCTTTCTTACCTCACTGTTGTAACTGGATCAAACTACCAGTTTCCATTATAAACACCATATATTCATTTTCTAAAAAAGCCTGACATTCTTCTGAGATGAAATCTAAGAGGATCATAAAACTCAGGGGCGATTCTTTTCCCCGGAAGACTCGGAGTATTTGCTGATTATAATTTCAATTTCAAAGTTTTACCAAGAAAAATGAATCAATTTTGCTTCAGCAGAACATCGAACAATTAAAAGAAAAATCTGCACGGGTCAGACATAGAGAAAACCAAATTATGAGGCAATAGAATTATATACAGGAGAACAAACAAAACACACCTAAACACTGGCAATGCAATTGACCATTCAAAATAGAGTTAATAAGTTCCCAAACATGCAAGTCTGAATTTTAAAATTAAGCCTCCCAATTGCCAATTTCAAAAAGTGTAATGAGTTTAGAGTGGCCTTTTTATTATGCATGGTTTTATGTCTTTAGATTTCAAAATTACCTAGCATGCATTTTCAACTTTGCTACAATTTCCGGGCTGTTTTCATTTCTATTTAAAAAAGGCTAAACAGTAAGATGTGCCTCTGCTTTGCATTCTAATTGCACGTAACTGATTTGCACTGCAGAACAAAAAACTCATTTTCAGATTAAGAATCGTGCACCAAGAAATAATTATTGTTCCACCAGAAAAAAAAAATTTCCCACTTTCTTCTCTCATTTACAGGAATTGTTTTCTAGGTTCCCCCCGGTTGATCTCTTTTATAGACCACCATGCATTGCTCTTTGGGGACGAAAATAATGCAAATAGAAACAAGGAACATACAACTGTTCTGAGTACATTCTTCTACTTGCAACATAACACTTGCCTTTTATTATTTTATCTTCAACAATCAAGGGGTGACTAAATGGTTGCAGGTGGTGATGAAAATAAAAGTCATCCATCATTATTTATTAGGCATGAAAAAGATACACAATAATGTAATTTAATCTCAGAGCAGACAATTATTTCCACATATCGATAATACAATGTGAAAACTGTCATGAATTCTAATATGATATTTCGGCTTTATTGGTGCACCACGGCCAGCATGGCAAATAATGAAATTGCATCAAAAAGAAAAAAACAAGGTAATTATGAGCGTATGTCAATATCATGGGTGGAAAACATATCACCAAATTTTTAAAGCTTCTTCATTACAACTTGAACAAGCCAGAAGTTTGATGTGGAAAAAAAGAAGCACATTTTCTGTTTTCACTATTTAAAACACAATCTATTACATTCATACCACAATCTATAATCTGAATAAACACTGACTATGTAAGTGTTTTATCATATAAACGTTTTGAAGACCAGCCAGTCTGCTAAAATATTTGCAAGAAGTATATATACACCATAGGGTCAAATTTCTAACATATTCTTTGGTTCACTGTAGTCTGGTAAAAATCTGCAGATGAAAACCCTGTGATCTCTACTTTGGGTAGCATACACATGGCTATTAAATGTAGCAAAGAACATACCTTTTAGCCAAATAAAGCAAGAAATGGTTGAAAATAAACATCTTTGGTAGGAAAAATCCTGACTGATGAAATGCTTGGTCAAAAAAAGTGAAAGCTAGTTTTTCGTTACGTTAAACGATTCCTATTTCTCCTTGGCAGTTAAACTCTAGCTCCAAATAGGACTTGGAAGGTGAAAATATGACAAAAAAGAAACAAACTATCATTTCATCTCTGTAGAGGGGAAGCAAAAACATCTTACGACTTATATTTGAATAGATTTTGGTTTCGGCCAGGAGAGTGATCACGATTAGAGACTTTCCTAGTTAGAAATAAATTAGAAGTTTTCTTAAAACACACATTTATTCTACAGCACATATATACAGCATGCGCTACGCTTTCTCAGAGTCTAATTTATTCACAGTTCACGTATATATTAGAAATATGAATGTAAGCTTATTGGATAAGATAAATGACCTTCTCTTAGAAAAATGCCTTTTTAGAATTATTAAGGAAGGAAAATATTTCAGACTTGGATTGAGTGGTGGACAAGACCTGGAAGAAAAAGTGTTTCTGAGTGATCACAACACTGTGACCATTCTGGGCTGGGAGAGAAAATTTATATATCATGCGGTTACTCAATTTTATAAAGGGAACCTAAGAACAAGTGTAGGCAGTGGGTAGGAAAAACAAATGAAAGGAATAATTTAAAAAGTCAATAAGCCACAGGAAACCTGGAGACTGTTTAAAAACACCTTATTGGAAGCCTAGCAAAAGTATGTGCCAGAGATCAAAGGGACACTTGGAAATGTGGCCCAAGTAAGGAAACCAGGGAGATCCGCAAACTATGGCAGGTCAGGTGTGAACAAGAATGCAGGCGAGCCAAAAGAGAATTCAAGAGTCCCTTGCAAGTGACTCCAAAGCTAATAAAAATGTTCTTCAAAATATATCCATGGCAGAAAACCAAGAACTAATGGGCCAATCAAGTGCCACACTGTGGGCAAAAGAGATATTCTTCTTAGAGGATATAAACTCTTCTGACTATACTGAAGAACATTCATTCATTCATCCATTCATTCATACATTCACTTTTGTCCACTCATTCAATCATCCACCCATCTGATCACTTATTAATTAAAAAAAAAATACAGAATGCCTACCATGAACCAGACTTTGGGTTCAATACTAGGGATATAAAACTATTAAATCATTCATTCATTCTTTCTTTCTTCTCACTCAGTCACCAACTCATCCAACCATCATGTGTTTGATTACCCATTTATTTCACAAAAAAATTACAGAACATATATCATGAGACAGACTCTGGATTAAACACTGTATCAATTCTTAAAACATCCATTCAGTCAGTCAACAAATACTTGAAAGTCTGCCATGTGCCCAGCCCTGGTCTAATTCTTTGAGACAGATCCGTGAAGAGCAGAGACAACA